ATTGTGGCGCCGTCTTAAAAATGGGCGTTTTATCGGTTGGTGTTCTTTATAGTAAATGACGATATTACCCTTTTTACCTTGAGTATGTCCCTTTTTTTTTATTAAATAAAAAAAAAACTCTTCTCTCATGTCAACGTGGATCCTTTGCTTTTTGTTAAATTTGGATCATCTGGAAACTAGGACTCACACTATGTTTTCTTTCTTCTCTGGTTAATGAAAATATGCAGAAAGACTTTTGTTTTTTCTATAACTTGCAACATTCTAAATTTATGATATCATGATTGTGTGTGTGTGTATATATAGTTATATACCTTGTGCAATCATTCTATACAATATCAAGGATTCATAATATCTACACTATTACTAATAAAATCACTCTTACTTACCTATAATTTATATGTTTCTCTACGAATTTGAATTTGATGAAAATGTGTACTATTATTATGGTTTAAAAGCTGTTGGAGACTTGGAGGATATTATAAACGAGACAGGCGTAATAATTAAGCAGTAGGTGAAGATATAAACAAAATCATTTAATGAGGATGTGTAATGTATTTGCTTGTTCTTTTTCTAACATGTTGAGAGCTGAAATGAGTTAATTCTCTTGTCAGGTTGACACTTATTGAGACTACGACGATGACAGTAATTATAAATGGAAAGTTTCGGAAAGAAATTAACTTGGTTCTTAATTTCGCAGTATTACAAAGTTAAAAACTATTACGACATAACCAAAACTTTCAGCATACTCATAAACTACGAAATATACGTATGATGTTGGAACGTCGGATTCAGCAAAACGAACTATATAATTTATTGTTATTATTACATCAACTAATTGCATTCGATTTGTTGGTGAAACCAACCTATAATTTAAAAAACAAAAACTAAAGTATATAGAAATACGTGAAAAGGATGCGACAGGTAATGCGTCACCATTAAACATTGTTAATACACAATAAGACGAAAAATGTCACATTTTAAGTCGCACTAACATGAAGCGACAACTTTAAGATTTGTACACCCCATCACATTTTTTTTTTGTTCATCTAGATTTTATTATAACAAACGAGGTGAGATTACAAAGTCCGGTGAAAACAGAAGAAATCCCCTGAAAACTAAGCCTACAAGAGGAAGACATATACCCACAAAAGGAAGAAATATGCCCACACAAGAGAAACATAAAATGAAACAAACTAAGCTAAAAGTTAGAGATTAAAGGCAGAGAAGGGTCGAGCTAAGAGTAACTAGAACGAAGCGACACACAATGCCAAGATCAAACGTGAAGACTGGATACAGATTAAGACTCTAAATGACCACAAAGCACCGAGAAGGGTAAGAGTTGCGAACCCACTCAAAGTAGCCAAGCCAAACACCCAAAAGACGGGATACACGAACTGGTAAGAAACCCGCTTTTGCTGGCAATGCCACGAACCACAAACTCCACACGCAGCAACCCTCACACGGTTAATAGAATTAGCCAAATGGAGAAGGAAAATTGAAGACGACAGCGAAAGCAGCTATGCCGCACCAACGACAAGTGAAGAACTTGCACCTCAGGCGCTTGACTCCTC